TTTTTTTTTTTTTTGTAGTATTGGAGATTGAATCTGTGGTCTCACATGTGCTAAGCAAGTGAAGTACATGCCCAGTGAAGTACATGCCCAGACCTTGTTCAACTCATTTCTTACACAAATTCTCTCTATTGAAATACCTAGTACAGTTTTTATTTTTCTGGCTGCTACATCAAGGTAGTGTTTTGTCTCATGGTACATTGAGTTTAAGAAGCATCTGCCAAGCCCCTATGCTGTGCCAAGAAGTGGTCTAGTTGTTGATGTTGTAAAAGTGAATAAAATCAAGGCTCAAGATACTTCCAGGGTAATGGGAAAATGCAGGTAAGAAGGTTCAGTGTTTCTCAAAGTGTGGTCCAAAGACCACATGCAACAGATTGTTTTTAGCTAGCTTTGTAGTCTCTGGGCATGTGTCTTAAATAAGATCCCTTGATAATTCTGGTGTCCTCTCAAGTGTGACAACTATGACGGAGCATCTGCATAGTATGTGGCTGGGGCAAAGTTAGCCTTGATCCCACACCTCACATTGTTGGTTCTTTGAGCCTCCCATGGTTCATTCAATCATCCTTTGAGGCCCTGCTGAGTCTTGTCTTTCCCACAAAGCCTTCACTAACTTTTCTGACTCATATGAAACTTGTCTTTTTTCAGCATTCCAACAGCACTTATAGTCTGGATCACACAATCGAATGTCCAGATATTTCCTAAATGCTTCAGAATTGCTGATTTTGGTCTTTGAGGCTATCTCCTAAATTTATCAAAAGGCAAGGACTATCACATAGACTACTAAATTTTTACATAAAATATAATAAAGCACATAAATGTCTGTTATGTACCCAAGTATTATGAATAACTTGTTTATTACTTTTTACTAGTCTTTGTTCTTAGATTGAAAAACAGACAAACCAAACTTCAATTTATGGCTCTTAATGGTCAAAGCTTTAGAAAAAAAAGACAGTACTCAATGTTCTCAAAGCCTTTATCCTTGGAAAACACTGAGAAATATTTATATGCTTCTACCATCATATGAACTAGGGACAGAATCCTTAACAGGAAATATATATGAGTACAAAATAACTTCACAACCATAAGTACTCATGTTGTAAATTTTGTTGAAGCTTTCCAAGTAAGTTTTAGTAGCTACTTTTCAATATTTTAGCAAATATTTATTTGCTGCCTGTTCGTGTTTATGTGATTTGAGATCCTTTGCCAGTAAAGTGATAAAAGGAATCTTAGCTTAAGAAAAAATTAAAAAATAAAAACTTAAAACTGAGAAAATTCTTTGTACTTCTTTCCTGAAAAAATTGGGGTCATTCTAATTAGTGTTAAAGGATGTACCCCACCGTTCACTTCAAAGAAAAATGGCCCCCCAAAATGTCTACATCCTAATCCCTGAAACCTGTGAATATGAATATTACATCAAAAGGGGGAATTAAGATAGCAGATGAAACTAAGGTTGCTAATAAGCTTATCTTAAATCAAGCCTGGATTTTACAGGTGGACCTGATGTAATCATGAGGATACTTAGAAGTGGTGCAAAGGGGAGAGTCAAAATCTGAGAAGGACATAGGATGATAGAGTAAGATCAAAATGGGCAATTGCAGGCTCTGAAGACAGAAAGGGTAAGGACCCAAGGAATCCCAGCCTTCTCCCAGAATTGGAGAAAGCAAGGAGACAGGATTTCTTTCAGAACCTCTGAAAAGGTTCACAGTCTGGCCAACAGCTTGATTTTAGCCCAGTGACCCATTTCAGAATTCTGATGTCCAGAACAGTATGATGAGACTTATTTGTGTTTTTCCAAGCCATTAAATGGTTATTTGTTATAGCAGCCATAGGAAACTAATACATCTTGCCTCCAAGGAATGTTCAAGAACCACTGCCTTTGCAGGTTTGTCTGATAACAGCTCATTCTAAATCACCGGCTTTGCCATCCCACCTCACAGGTACAAAAGGGAAGAGTGAGAATCAAGGTAGGGCATGAGCAGGTGGAGAAGAAAGGGAAGGTGGGTGGTAGCTTGGGGAGAGTGGCTGCTCCAAGCTGGGTCTGCTTTGGGTATTGGAGCCTATAAGAGAGAAGTGGGAGAGAGCTGAGGGGTATGAGGGAGTTGTCAGACAGAGACACCATCCCTACCTGGCTCAGGAAAAGGGAAGGATACAAGGGTGTGTGGGAGCACCTTAGACCACTGTGCAGTTCTAGACAGCCTGCAGGGTTGTGGGAGCCTCCCAAGGCCAGCGCTGTCCATCAGAGGATTCTGGCTGTCTCCCAGGACTGGGCCGCATTAGTACCTCTATCTCACTCAGTCACTGGCTGGGAGCAGCCTATGGAAAGCAGGGTGACGGTGCAAATGTGACAGTGAACTGCAGAGCACAGCAGTCACTAGTCAGCAGCCATGGGGTGGTTGGACGTCAGAAAAACACATTTCCATGGGCACCACACCGTTCCCTGAAGAACTGGAAAATCCTTGTGGACTGGAGGTTTATTCCACCCTGAGAATTCCTAAGGCCCCAAGGAGGTCTTGAGCCTCTTCTCAGGGTGATCAGAGAGGCTGCCTTTCTGTGTAGCTACTCCTGCAGTAGCCACAGTGTGTGGTGCGAGAAAGCCCAGCCCTGGGAACCTCCCAGGCAGCCAAGCTCTCCCAGGCTAGCGTCTGCTCACTCCCTGCTTAGATGAAGACTGCCCAAGGTTCAGACCCTGAGAGAATCACTGCCCACCCCCTTTTCCTGTGTGTCCTAACATGGCACCCACTCACTAGAAATATAGAGGGCAGGGCTGGGTACAGCATGGTCACATGGAGGCTTCGGTTGAGATGGAGGGAGAAGTGAGAACCAGTATAATTCCGTGGTGTTTGTGTGTTTCCATGTCAGTGAGCACAGGGAGAGGAAGGCAGATCTGAGGGGAATGTTCCATGTAACCATTTTGCTGGTTCCATTTGCTCCTGGGGATGCACCACTCAGTCCTCAAAGAAACTGGCTTTTCCACCCACCACAATGGTGGCGCTGTGTGTGGTGTTTAAGAAAGACAGAGGAACAGACAGACAGACAACAGCAGTGCCCACCAGGAAGGAGAGTCTCCACTCCCGTCTGGGGTTAGGGCTCTGACCAGCTTGTTAAATGCAGGACACAGACCAATAACCACAGTGGGCAGAGAGAAGAGGTTATGGAGCCAAATGCCAGCTTATTTTCCATGGTCAGGGGAGGGCAGTGGCAGAGATCATAGGTGGGGAGGTATGACAGGCGGGGAGGGAGGGAATCTGGGTAGAGGGAGGCAGAAATGACAAGCTGGCCCTTCTGTGAACTCAATGAAGTCAGAAAGGGGACAAAAGAGTCCCCAAGTCCCACAATCAAGTCCAAACAGAAAGTCATTGTCTTAATCCATTTTCTGCTGCTATAATAGAATACCACAGGCTGAGTAATTTATAAAGAAAATAAGTTCACAGATCTCACAGTTCTGGAGGTTGGAGGGTCCAAGAGCATGGCACCGTCCCCTAGGGGAAGGCCTTTTTGCTGCCTCACAACAGGGCAAAGAGCATTTGTGGTGAGATGACAAGAGGGGCCAGCTCAGGCCTCTCTTCCTCTTCTCACAAAGCCACTAATGCTATCACAGGGCCCCACTTCATGTCCTCATCTAATTCTAATTACCTCCCAAAGGGCCACCAACAAATGCCACTGATGTATGAACTTGGGGGTGTGGGCGACACAAACCACAGAGCTGTGAGTGGAGAGGAGTGGGTCACCAGGCCAGCAAGTACCGGGACTGGTTCCGGGGCTCATCTGGTGAGTGGGTCAGGTTCTCTAGGAAGTAGGTCTCAGCATGTGGGACAAGAAGGAGAAATTCCAGGGACCCAATAAGCACTGGGCCTCGATGAGGGCTCAGTTACCTGAAATGTGAAGTACTCGTCTGCAGGCGCATTGAGCATGTTGCATATCTGCAAAGCAAGAGGAGACATGAGTCCTGAAATACGGTGTGGTGGAGCCACAGAAGAGAATCAGAAAGAAAGCATCAGGAGCAAGGTTTTATCCACAGCTCTCATCTGCCAGGAGGCAAAGCATTCACCTTGGACCTCAGCTTGGCCAAACTTGCTATCATCTCAGTGAAGTCACTGGGCGATATTTCACCCAATCTCAGCTCCTTTCCACTCCCCCAGCCTCTAAGGAAACCGCTTCAAATCCAAAGCAACTAGCTGTCCAGGCCAAGGAGAGGAGAAAGCTAAACAGGCCATTCTTCTGAGGCATGGATGCAGGGGTTGCTCCTTTTTTTGTTTTGTTTTTTCCTACAGTGAAATCCAGGTAAAAAGAGGTGGCAAAGGGACAGGAAGGGACAAAGCCAGACAGCTTTTTGGTCGCACAAAGTAAGGATTCACTGTGGGAATATCGTTTTAACTACTGGAATTCAGAGACTGTTTCTCCCATGCAGACGGACAAGAAATCACTCCATTTTGGATTATTCTATATTACTCATACCTCATGTCATGTCCACAAGTGCATATTTTTCTTCTTCTTTTTTGTATTGGGGATTGAACCAAGGGGGTTTACCACTGAGTTAAATCCCCAACCCTGCTCTCTGACCCCTCATTTTTTTAGACAGGCTCTCTCTGACATGCAGAGGCTGGCCTTGAACTTATGACTCTCCTGTCTCAGCTTCCCGAATCTCTGAGATTATAGATGTGCACCACCCTTCCCAGCATGAATACATCTTAATAAAAAAACTATATCTTTCTTCCCACCAAAGTTATATTAGATACTTAAAATCACAGCATTTTGATTGGAAGGAATGTTAACAATTTTTAAGCTTCTCCTTTTAAAGATGAGAAAACAGAAGTCCAAAAATGCTAAGTGATTTGTTCTAAGACATTGAGATAAAACCAGAACCATGCTCTCCAGAGAGGTGCTGGTGGAACGGGCTCCCTGGCAGGGCCTGGTTTGTATCTGTTGCCCATTTACCTGGAATAAATTCTCCCACCATGAGACTTCAAGTTGATGACAGTTTAACAACCTGTTTACAAAATTCCTGAGAATGTTAACAATTTTCTGAGTAGGCCTGAGGTGGCTTTGCCCACCAGACCAAATGCTAATAGCCCTGTGGCACCAAGGCAAGCACTTTTTAAGAGTGTTTGGACCACATGGACTGCTTTTATAGTACTCTTACAAAGAAAATGTGAAAATATTTCATAGTTTTTATGAGCATTTATAGACAAATAATTTAAGGGATCTTGAATTATCCGTTAATTTCAAAATACATCTTGAATGTATTATATATTTGAATGGACTGAGCACCCTTCAGGCATGGTTTAAAGAGATGAAAAACATCTTATTCCTCTTTTATGGCCTTTCCATCAACGATATGTGTTGCAGTCCATACTTTGAGACTTCAAGAGAACATTAACAGATGGATCAAGATGTCAGAGAAATCCCACACCCGACCTATCTGTCTGTGCCTCCCACCATGTCTCTCTTGCATCAAAAATTGACCAATTGTATTAAGATAAAATTAAACCTTCCACAAATCATTGACTTCAAAAGGATGTCTGAAACTCATGTGGCTGCCGAGTAAGAAGTTGAGAGATGGGTGACTCTTTCTCACACTGAGTAAATATTTTCATGGAGAGTTTCAAAGTCCCCAGATAACCAACATTCAACAGTCAAGACTCTTCTGTCTTGTGCAAAGGAAGTAGCCATAACCCTTATCTAGTGTATTCTTGCTGTGACAATTGTAACTATCTCTTAACTAGTAAGAGTTTCATAGGGCATTATTTAGAATTTGAATTTGTCCAATAACTTACAAATCCATTTTCAGCAACATAGGTTGGCAACCCACTGACGAAGGTCCAGTGGTCGGCAGGAGGTGTCCTGGGGGGAGATTAGAAGAAATGAAATCATTGCTATAGAGAGAAATGCACCATGCACAAAAACAAAATAGCAACTCCCATGATTTCTTCATGACAGTACTCACGGAATCACTTTGATTTCTTCCTTCCCATGTAAAATGTAATCGATTACTTTATAAAAGATGACTTCCTAAAAGAGGAGATTATGAGCATGAAATTATTTCCCAAGACAACACCTCTTTAAGAACTTGTGCATTGCTAAACTACTCATATACTAATTATAAGCTTGTAATAAAGTCAGAAATATTATTGACTGTTTATATTCCTTAAGGCTGAAGTTTCATTTTTAAGAAATTCACTTAGTTTGGGGGGGCGGAAATCTTTGACTACCATATCACCAGTCTGTTTCTACTTTTAAGTGATCCCTTTTTGTTATCTAGAAACACTTGACGTGAATAACTTCACTAGAACAAATCACATAATTCCTCAACTGCAATCAATTGTTCATCGGGCACAGTGAGGACACAGCCCCCTTCTGGCACTGACGTATCTGAAATGTGCCTCTGAAATAGGGCTCAGTGGACCCTTTGTCAAAGTCAGAAGTGACTTTAAGTATTAGTCTCTCGACTTCATGGGGCAGATGAAGAACCTTAGACCTGTACATTGCAGGCCATCAACTTCTCTTTCCTGTGTGCCAGGAATAAAGAAGTAGATAAATAAACATAGTGCCTGCCCTCATAAAGCTTGAAGCCAAGGTTGAAAGGAAATCGAACCCAAGCCTTCCCTGGGGATCCCAAACCAGCATAACTGAAGAAGAATCCAGCACTTCTTAAAACTTGTGCAGAAGGATTAGGGTGTAACTTAGTGATAGAGCACTAGCCTAGAACACACAAGACCCTGAGTTCAATCCCCAGCACCACTTTAAAGAAAAAATGCATTGCAGGAGAAAAACTCAGACCTTCCCAGGCCAGTGCTCCTTCAGCAGTCCCCTAGTTTAGAACCTGACACCATACACACACAGCATCAGAATTGATGTTTGTATTTACCCTTCCATCTGGAGTTTTTGGACCTTTATAAGGCTCAACTTCTCCAAGCTTGATTGGCCATTCATCGTAGAATTCCTGGAGGCAAATATATTTAAACGTTATTAAACAAACTGTCTCATGACCTACCATATCTTATCTGAATTGTATGCATTTGTATAATTTATGTTAATCTATATAGTTCTGGAATGTTAGACCTGAAAAAAACCTATAATTCTCAGCAATAGTGATTACACACTTGTGACTGTAAACAAGTAGCTTGACTTTTTTTTATTATTTGTAAATGGGGATACTAGTAGAATTTATACTAGAGCATTGTAGTAAGGATTAAATGCATAATGCGTACTAACTGGCACATAGTTCAAAGTCCTCAGCGTAGAGCAGTTCCTTAATAAACAACTAAACTAAATCCAGACCGGTTAAGAGGCTTGGCCAAGGTCACTCAGAGCAGTCAACAATGTCAGTTGCCCTGCCCTTCATTCACTCTCCCCTCTTCTTGCTAGCAGAATCTCATTTTATTTGGAAATCTGATGATAATTTGTTTAGGGAAGAAGGGCCCTGGCCAGCCTGTACCTGGTACTGTATCAGGTGCTTAAATTAGTTAGAGGGCAGGTAGGTAACTCAGTTCTGGCCAGCAAAGAAGAGAAGTCTGCTTAGGAGCTACTAGAGAAAGGTGTCTCTTAGATAAAAGTGACATTTGGAGGAAATATCTCTCCATTTTGTCATGTCTAGGTACCATGCTTTGAGCTCCAAGGATCTTCTTGCCCCCATAAGAAGAGATCTCACAACATTTCGTAGGTAGCAAAGAACTTGCCAGGAAAAAAAAAAAAAGGAAAGCACCTGGGACTTCGATGACTATACTGAAAGCTACATTAGGCAGTGCTGGAACTGTCCAACCAGGGGACTTTTAACATCATTTTGTTAAAGATGCTTTTGGCTGGGTCTCATGTTCCTTGCAACCCAAAGCATTCTAACCAATATACTCAGCTAGAAAGTGCCAGAGACAAAATCAGAATCCATCTTTTCTGATGTTTGGGCCTATGTAAGTCCATTTAGAACAATTACTCTGAAAAAAAAAAAAAAGCTATCAATCACAGGAAGCGTATAAGCTATATTGAACTACAAACCTCCAAAAAAATAAGCAAAATGAGAAACATTATATTATGAATAATATTATATATTTCATTATTTTTACTTCAAAAAAATTCAAAATTTTTTCAAAATACAAAATCTCAAAATGGTAACTTATTATGCACCTACTGTGTACTATACATTTTCCATATATTATATCACAACTTCACAACATAAAGAGATGTCCTTATTTTTTAGAAGAGAAAACCAAGACTTTTAACTCAGGTTAAAAGACTTGCTGAAGCTGGGGATGTGGCTCAAGCGGTAGCGTGCTCGCCTGGCATGCGCAGGGCGCTGGATTCGATCCTCAGCACCACATAAAAAATAAAAGATGTTGTGTCCACTGAAAACTAAAAAATAGATATTTAAAAAACCTCTCTCTCTCTCTCTCTCTCTCTCTC